AAGCATTTGGGTGCTTTTCTTTTCTGGGCACTGTAACAGTTTAAATGGAGTTGGAGTTACCCCTTCCTTAATGACTGGAGAAAACTCACCTATGAATCATCTGCACCTGGGCTCTTGGGGGGCAGCTCCTTGCCTACCTGCCAGAGGGCTCATGTCATTCCCCTGTTTAAGATTCTTCATTGGCTTCCCACTGCTCTTAGAATAAAATCTGACTCCTTACCAAGGCCCTACATGACCCGACTAAGTTCTATTAACAACTTGCTTTCATACAGTATTCCACTGTTCTCTGCACTACTGCCGCGTTGGCCTCCTTTCTGTTCCTGAAACACACCAGGTTCTTTGCAGCCCAGGAGCCTGTGCACTGGCTGGTTCCCCTGCCTGGAATGTTCTTATTTCAGCCCTTATATTGAACGGTTTATTCTCATCCTTCAGGTCTTGCTTAATATCACATCTTCAAACAAGGCCTCCCCCATCATCTTATCTAGTGTGAGGTCCCTTAGTTCTCTTTCATCATTCTGTTTATTTCCTTAACGTGTCACTTGTTATGCTCTGTAATTATCTTGTCAGCTTTTGACTTGCTCATTGTTTGATACACCACCTTCCACCCCACTGTTGACTGTGAACCGCTTTGAGGTCCCCAGGACGTTTCCTGTCTTATTTACTCTGTTTCCATTCCCTAGAACTGTGTTTGGCACATAGCAGACAGCCAAAAAAAGAAAACAAACAAACAAGCAAAAAAAATCTTGTTGACTGAATGAACCAATCAGAGGACCAGTGAAGGGGACGCTGGGAGAAATCATGGTACCATTGTCAGAACGGAGATAAGGAATCAGTTAGGGAGGAGTTCAGGTTTGTATAGGTTCAGTTCTAGACAACAGCAAAGGAGCCAAGTAGAAAGTTCTGATGGCCATTTGGAGATATAATAATGGAGTGAATTGGAGAGGGTTATGAATGTAGATTTGTGAGTTATCCTTAATCATCTATTAATGCGCTTAATCACCCGTCCACTCATCCATTAATCCATCTGTCTCTTCACTCATCTGTCCAGGCATCCCTGTACGTATTCATTCATGGATTCAGACCACAAACTTTTGAGTAAATCATGAGTCAAGCCTTGGGCACTGGAGATACATTGACCAATAGACAGTCTCTGCCCTCAAGGAGTATAAGTCTGGAGGGGATGGAAAGCAGTGGACATAAAGCTATACCAGATTGTAGTAAGCACTGCTATGAGGTAGCCACGGAGCTAGTTGAAAACACATGGGTGAAAATAAAGAATTTAATCTTGAGGGCAATTTAATTAGGGAGCATTGAAGAGGAGGACCTGACAAGCAAAGGAAGAGGTGGGTCAGGGTGATAAAAAGAGAAACAGGAGACAAATCATATCACAGTAGAAAAACTTGGGCTTTAGAGTAAGAGCCCAATTTGAATTGAAGAGCACTTTGAATCCCAGTGCTGCTTCTTACCAGCTAGGTAATTTGGAGAAATGATTTATCCTCTCTGAGCCTCAGTTTTCTCCCTAGAAAATAGAGATAACAGTACTAATCTCATAGCAATGTTGTAGAATAGATCCTGCCTGATACATAGTAGATGCTCATAGATAGTAGTTAGGGTGGTAATGATGGTGGTGATGATGATGATGGTGGTTGCTGGATGGTGGTGATGATAGTGGTAATGGTGGTGATAGTGGTAGCGATGCTATTGCTGATCATAGTGGTGGTGGTGATGATGGTGGTGGTGATGATGATGGTGGTAGTGATCATAGTGGTGGTGGTGATGATGGTGGTGGTGATGATGGAGGTGGTGGTAGTAATGACAATGGTGGTGGTGGTGTTGTGATGAAGATGGTGGTGATAGTAACTAGAAAACAATTTAGAGACATTACTCCTTGCTTTTTGAGCAGTATTTGACTCAGATTTCTTGAGGCATTGCCCCTGGATATGAGAATGCCGCCTGAAGTTCTGGTGAAGAGCAGAAAGGTGGGTCAAGTTTGTGCTGCCATCTTTTGCAGGACGACTGCAGTTTTGATGGAAGCTGGACACCAGCCATCCACTTTCTGCAAGGAAAATCATTAGCCACACTCCATCATACTGGTTTGCTTACTCAAAGTCTCTCATGATGAATGCTGAAATTAAGTGATTACATTTTTTTCTATTTGAAAAGATATGCCTTTCTGCTGGACTTAAATAGCAGGGTCAAGTGCAATGGTCAGGGATGTCGTTTTTAGTTAGAATCCATTTTCTCTTCATAAATATAGGCAACTATGGCTTGGAACCTGGCCAAGAGGACCCAAATTTTGCCTTCTGCCCCTCTGCAGATTGGCAGAGTACTGGGGATACTGAGGATGGGGAAGGGGGAGCAGAGCCTGTTGGGAAAGGATAAATATTTCTGTCAGGCAGGCTTTAAAGAGTGATAGTGTCACCTGCTTAAAGCACCTGGCACCATGCCCAGACATGTCAGCTATGCGGCAAATGGACCTCTCATCCCCTTTCCCACGTAGGATTGGCATCCTGGGGCCCTGATGGCAAGGACCACCTAAAAAGGGAAGGAAGCCAGGACGTGATTGGCCAGATTCAGTGACTGGTGAGATTGTGGGTTCAGAAATGGCTGGAGGGAAGGAAACTACTCTTTATCAAGTGCCTACAGACTGCCAAGCGTTGTGTTAGTGGCTTCCTATTTGATCCTGATAATAATCTATGAGTTGATATTATTCACCTCATTTTGCAGATGAGGAAATCAGGGCTCAGAGAGGGGAAGTGACTTGCCCCAATCCATGGAACTAACTCAAGGTTGAGCCAGCATATGAGTCCAGGCCTTTCTGAACCCAAAGCCTCTACTCTTTCCAGTATACAGCCCTGTGAGGTTGGCATGCTGGGGAAATGGGGTGTTGGATATGAGATTGAGGTGTGGGAGAGCCAATGACTCTGTCTCTCTCCACTTAGTCAGCTCAGGGCCTTGAGTTCTTCGAGGAGCCAAACTTTAAGAAAGTTACGTCTGAGCCAGCAACATGTGGGGTGGGGGCAGGGTGGGCAAGAGGACAGCAGGAGGGTACAAGGTAGGGTAGGGGGTGCTTGCAATTTCCTGGATCCTCCCCCCACCTAAAGCCTTTTCTCCCCTTGTTCTCACCCCCAAGCCCTCTATGGCACAGAAGGGGTGGCCTTGACGCCTGGGCATGTGAGGAGTGGGAACCCACCCACTCCAGCCACACAGCTCTGGTGGGAGCTCAGCCCTAAGCTCTCTGGGGGGCCAGGCCTCTTCGCAGAGACCCAGGGACCTGGGTTTGTTTTTGTTTTTGTTTTTGTTTTTTGGTGAGGAAGACTGGCCCTGAGCTAACATCTGTGCCCATCTTCCTCTATTTTGTATGTGGGACACTGCTGCCTCAGCATGGCTTGATGAACAGTGTATCAGTCCATGCCCGGGGTTCGAACCTTCAAACCCCGGGCTGCAGAAGTAGAGTGCACAAACTTAACCACTATGCCACTGGGCCAGCCCCCCAGGGACCTTTTAATAGTCTTATGGCCTCATGGCTTGGGGCCCATGAGCTTTTCTTTCTTCTTCTTTTTTTCTTTTGCTGAGGAAGATTCACCTTGAGCTAACATCTGTGCCAATCTTTCTCTTTTTGCATGTGGGTCACCAGCACAGCATGGCCACTGACAAGTGGTGTAGGTCCGCACCCAGGATCCGAACCTGGGCCACTGAAGCGGAGTGTGCTGAACTTAACCACTAGGCCACAGGGCCGGCCCCCCATGAGCTTTTCCAGAACTTACACAAATATTTACGCCTGAGAATAAAAATACATGGGCTCAAAAATGTGAGCAGAAAAGGAGCAACATCAAAATTAATACAAGTTTAATTAAATGTCTACAGATGCAGTATTATGCCAACTAGTCACAGGCAACCCAAACCAATTCATATTTAGTTACAATAAATATAGTTAAGTTCAAATTACAAAGCAAAATGAATAATTTACTCTTTACAAAACTCAAAATTATGGAAATCCTTTTCGAAACTTTTACTGCAGTAAATGGTATTTGATGCGGGAGCAGTTTATTACGCTCGTCATGACGAGTGTGGGTCTCCAGCCTATGAAGGCCTTAGGAAGACTCTGTTGGCCTTGTAGTGCAGGGTCCCTTCTGGTCACAGCAGTGACCACAGAGGAAAGAAGCTACAGCTGGTTTCCTGGTGGAACTGGGTATCACAGTTCAGTAGGTAGGGACATGGCCAGGCACCATCTGCCATCAGCAGCTGTGGTGTCTCGGGAAATACTGGAAAAGGGCAAGGAGAAAGGCAGCCCGTTGGCTACTGGGAAGGAGAGCAACATGTCCACATGTGGGTTCCGGCAACTCCCTCTGGCTGCTGCTGTGTGGAGGAGGGGCTGGCTGGGGCCAGCCCGGAGGCAGAGAGACCAGAGAGGAGGTGGCAGCAGGGTCCAGGGAAGAGGTGGTGGTGGTCTGGCCTGCAGTAGAGGCAGTGAAGACAGAGGAAAGAAGATGGATTTGAGAGATGTGCCTAAGAAATGACAGGACTTTCTAAATAACCGAATGTGGAGACTGAAGGAGAAGGAAGAGTCCTGGACCACTCCCGAGTCCCGGGTTGGAGGAGGGATTGGGCGGCGGGGCCCACGGCAGCCAGGGAATGCAGAAGGAACAAGGGTGTGGTATATGCTGATGTCACACTTGCGACATGGCAGGCTTAAAGGGTTGGTGGGCTGCCCAAAGGAAACTGTACAGGATGCAAAGTGATGGACCGGCTTCACAAGGTGGGCCCAAGGTGCAGACACAGATGAGGGCACCCCCCCCCCACCCCCGGTCAGACAGAGCACACATTTATTTCACTGGAGGACCATAGGGTAGAGCCCTCTTCCACCGGGGGCTCTCACCTTATACAGCACTCACTCATTCCAGCCACAAAACCTCTACTGCTATTCAGTCTGCTGGGGAATGAGACATGAATGAGGGCAGCTGTGCCATGAGGTTGAAAGGGTTCCCCACTTTGAGAGCTGTGGGTCTCCACTTTTACCTGGCAGGGTGTGACGGGGTCACAGCAAGCCTCGTGGAGGAGATGGTGTTTGAACTGGATCTGGAAGGTTGGGTGGGGTACATATGGGAGAAAGTCAGTCTAGGCAGAGAGAGAGGGGCGGGCTAGCTCACGGAACACAGATTATTGGCTAAAGGTTCTGCCATGGAGAGTAAGAAAAAAGAAAAAGTTCACCACTAAGAAGTACTGGCTCCCCACAGGGCGCTGTATTCCTTTCCTATCGCTGCTGTAACAAATGATCACAAACTTAGTGGCTTAAAACAACGCACATTTATGCTCTTACACTTCCGGAGGTCAGAAGTCTGAAATCAGTTTCATTAGGCTAAAGTCAGGGTGTTGGCAAGACTGGTTCTTTCTGGAGGTTCTGAGGGAAGGATCTGTTATGTTGCTTTTTTCAGCTTCTAGTGGCTGTCCGTATTCTTGGCTTGTGGCCCCTTCCTTAGTGTTCAAGGTGCATCACTCCAATCTCTGCTTCCAGCATCACTTCACCTTCTCCTGTGACTCTGACCCCCCTGTAGCCCTCTTATGAGGACTACTGTCATTATATCAGGCCCATCTGGATCACACAGACTAATCCAGAATAATCTCAAACTCCTTAATTTAATCACATCTGCAAAGTCCCTTTTGTCATGTAAGGTAGCATTCACAGGTTCCGGGGGTTAGGATGTGTTCATCTTTGAGGGCCACTATTTAGCCTGCCACAGGTGCCCAGCACATTCATCATCTCCAGGGCATGGAGAGCCACACTCAGAGCCTGGGAGCCTGTCTGGTCCAAGGCCCAGGCTGTCAGTCCCTACTCCAGGAACCTGGCACTGCCCCTGAGCTCAGAGATTGCCTAGTCTCTCATTAAATTTTATTCAAATAATTAGGCAAAAGAGGTTGGGAACAGCGGGGCAGAAGAGAGCTAAATGGGGTCTTTACACCAGGACTTCTCAGAGCCTTTATCACGCTGTGTACGGGGACACTCCAAACTTTACTCAACATGAAACCTTTCTGAGATAGCACCTTCCACAGAACACTGTCTGGGCAGCGCTGTATAGACCATGCTACTTTGTGGGGTGTTTAGCCTGAAGAAAAGTAACCTCAGAGAAGTAGGTGCTTCCTTCAGCTCTCAGAAGGACAACAGTGGGAAGGAGAAAGCCTTAGCCCCACATTCCTTTATTCAATAAAGGGCACCTTTTGGGTGCTAGGCGCTGGGTATGATTTGGTAAATTATATAATCACATTTCCTGCCCTAAAGGAACTTACCATCTATGTGATAGGTATAAGTACAAACGTATTGATTTTAATACTACCCTTGGATACAGGGCTGTGGAGGAAATGTCCAGGGTGCAAGGAGAGGGAATAAAAGGGTGTTCAGAGAAGGTGTCATTTCAACCAAGACCTGAAGGAGGAGGAGACAGCAATACAAAGGCTGGGGAAAGAACACTCCAGGCAGAGGGGACAGCGTGAGCAAAGGCCCTGAGGTGGGAGGATGCTTGTGGGCCAAGGTGAAGAGTTTAGAAGTGTAAGTGTTAAGCAGGGAATTTGCATAATTAAAAACAACAACAATATTGTTTGGAGAATAGACTGTAAGAAGCCAGAGGGCAAGTCTTGCTTCCACTGTGTTCCCAGGGTCCAGAGCCGTGCCTGGTAAATAGTACGTGCTCATTTGACAACTATTTGTTGAGTGAATAAATCTAAAGAGAAATAGGACCATTAGTACGGAGGCTACTACAGTAGTCCCTGCAGGGCATGGTGTCTTGGAGACGGAGAATGGAGACAGGAAGAAGTGGGGGTGTTCAAGATGGATTTTGGAACTAGAAGTGACAGGAGTTGCTCATGGGCTAAAGGTAAAGGGATAGGTGAGGGAGGAATCTAGAATGTCTCCTGGGTTTCTGCCTCAGGGTAGATGATGGTGCCATTTTCTCTGAGGGAGAAGATTGAGAGAGCTTAAGGAATATAGTACTGGGGGTGAGAAAGAGACCGAGAGTCCACCTTTGAACATGGTAGGTGTAAGATGCCTTTGAGATATCCAAGTGCAAATATCAGGCTGGCAATCTGGAACCCAGAAGAGAGGTAAAGGTTGGAATGATAAACTAAGGACTCATCACGCACAGATGAGGGTTAAAACCATGTCATGACAAATACCGTAGGATTTCACCCATATGTGGAAGATAAACAAAAAACACAGAGATACAGAGAACAGATTGGTGGTTACCAGAGGGGAAGGGGGTGGGGGATGGTGAAGAGGGTAAAGGGGGACACGTGTACGGTGACTGATGGAAATTAGACTTTTAGCGGTGAAGACGATGTCTATAGAGAAGTCTAAATATAATGATGTACACCTGAAATTTACATGATGTTATAAACCAATGTGACCTCAGTAAAAAATAAACACCACGCCAAGAGCGAGATCACCCAGGGAGAGAGTGTGGATGAAGGGAGAAAGAGGCCAGGACTTAGGTGGGTTCAAAATGGTCTTAAAACAAACAAAAACAGACAGAAAAGGTCATGTTCATGTGGCGAGCTGGGGAAACCTGATTAACCTCTCCAAGTTTGTTTCCTCCTACGTGAACTGAGATGATACTTCTTCCTCAGAGGACCAGACTGCAACGCACAGGACACACAAGCAGGGACTCAGCAGATGACACAGCCCTAAGAGGGCTCAGAATTCTCCATCCTGACAAGGCCGCAAAGGGACAGACTAGCTCTTCTCCAGCCAAAGCCAGTGGCAAGCGATCCCTCAGCCACCTCTGTAAGTGAGTGTATCCCCCTCAACAGCTTTGCCTATCACCCAGACTCCTCCGATCTCTCGCCGCTCCGCCCTAGAAAGGAAGTCCATCCTGCCCGCAGCTTCTCAGAATGACCAGCAGAGGGAGCGCCTCCTCACGGCTGGTGTTTGCTGGCTCTCCTCTTTCTCTTTCCCTCTTTTCCCCTCTTCTGTATCTTTCTATACTAATACCCATTAAAGAGCTGGCATTTTTGAGTGACTACTCTGAAGTAGACAATCTCTGTGCATATTTCACTTAATTCCCAAAGCGGCCCTATGAGGTAGGTGCTGTTGGTATCTCAACTTACACACATGAAAACTGGCATCTCATGTAATCCTCACAACAACCCTCCAAAGTAGAGGTGGGTCCCATCACAGCTCTGAGGGTGCAGTGACCTCTCTGGGATCTCACAGTTCACTTTTCCCCTCTTCTGTATCTTTCATCAAAACTTTCCCCTCATCTTCTCCGCGCTAGACTCTCTCTCTCATACGAAGACACAGAATTCCTGAGCTTGAAGATTTCACGGACTGTTCGAGAAAGGAAACCAGTTATAATCATGGAATGGAGAGTGTGGCATAGGGGAAACAAGGCTCTGGAGTAAGAAGGACCCAAACTGAACCTTCGCTCTGCCTCCTGTGAACTGTGAGATCCCAGAGAGGTCACTGCACCCTCAGAGCTGTGATGGGACCCACCTCTACTTTGGAGGGTTGTTGTGAGGATTACATGAGATGCCAGTTTTCATGTGTGTAAGTTGAGATACCAACAGCACCTACCTCATAGGGCCGCTTTGGGAATTAAGTGAAATATGCACAGAGATTGTCTACTTCAGAGTAGTCACTCAAAAATGCCAGCTCTTTAATGGGTATTAGTATAAAAGACAACTCAGAGTAGGTCCTTAATGTCAATTCTTTCCCCTGTAGCTCTAACCCCACCTCCATTCTACACCTGTAGAAACTGAGGCCCAGAGAGGATCTGTGCTTCCTCAAGGTCACCCAGGGAATGAGGAGCAGAGCAGGGACCACTCCATGTCTTTCTTCTGTGCCAGCAGCACAGACAGAAATCCTTGGCTCTTAGGCCCAAACTGTCAAAAAAGGTTCCCTTCATCTTTTACTAAAGGCAAGAGGCCACCAGGTCGGCAGAGCAGGCAGGGCCTTTCCCACAGAGGTGGGGGCTCAGCACCCAGCAGCTGATGGAGGCCTCTGCACAGCACCCACCTGCAGCACTTGGCTTGGGTCTTAGGTCCATTTGGTTATTTCTCGTTGGACAATTCAGCCTGTTGGCTGGGAGCTCTGAGGCATTCAAGGCCTTTACCAACTGGCCCTAATTTAATTCCCAATCCATGCTTAGCTCCCTCAATTTTCCGAGCACTTTATGCTCTGATACTTTAATTAAGTCGTTCATTTATTTGATAAATATTTGAGTGTCTACTATGTGCCAGACCAGGGAGGTCTTGCCACTTGTGGGCTTGAAAGGGCAAGAGGAGGGACCTATCACTGGAGCCTGGGGGAGTGGCTGTATGGAGACAGCCACTTGACAGGAGCTGTGCAGCCAAACCATGGAGACCCATGGAGAAGGGCGGGAGTAGAGGAAGCTGCTTTGCTGATGAGGAACATAGGCGAACATAGGACCAAGGGAGTGTGTGTGTGTGTGTGTCTCAAAGATAGGCAGGTTGCTGTGCTGAGAACCTAGTGTTGAAATGAACAGAGATGAAAGTAGTAAGAAAGAGTCAAATGGAAACGCTAGAACTAAAAAACAGAGACAAGAATTTCTCTGGGCTCGTCAGTAGACTCAACGCATCCAAAAAAAAAGGAGCAGTGAACTTGAAGATAGGTCAATAAAAATTACCCAAACTGAAACACAAAGAGATAAAGCACTGAAAATAAACACACAGAACAGAGCATTCAAAAGCCGTGGTACAATTTTAAACAGTCTAACATCCACATAATTAAAACCTCAGAAGGAGAAGAAATAACAGAGCCGAAGAAATATTTAAGGAGATAGGCTGAACATTTTCCAAAAATAATGAAAGCTATGAAACCATAGATCCAAGAACATGGAGAATCTCAACAGGATAATTTTTTTTTTATTCCAGACACATTATATTAAAACTGTTAATTGGGCAGGCTCCGTGGCTTAGCGGTTAGGTGCGCGCGCTCTGATGCTGGCGGCCTGGGTT